TTGCGGATGAGCTGGATGCCCTCCAGTACATTGGTGATATCGTAGATGCGACGCTTCTGGACCTCCAGCACCTCGGCAGCTCGGTTCAGATCCACAACACCGTCGGGAGACTCGTTCAGCAAATGGATGAATTTTTTGGTGAGCAGCCCCAGTGAGGTGTCGTAGCGAGTCTTCTCCCCAGGAGACTTGGGGGCTGTGGGGAAAAAAGAGACCGCCCATCCTCTCCTTAATTTGGGATGTGGGATGGAGGTAACATGGGGCTAGACATCAGAGGCCACGTTTTCCTTTCTTTAGTGTCGGATTTGGGACAGAGATTATATAGGGTTGGAGAGAAGAGATCTCCCCATCCTCTCCTTAGCCAGGCCTGTGGGATGGAGGTATCACTGGGCTGGACTTGAGAGACCCCCCCCATCCTCTCCTTCATGTGGGATATGGGCTGGAGGTGACATGAGGTAGTGCTAGAGGGGACATGGCTCTAAGAGGGAAGAGAAGTGGGGTCTGCTCCCCCCATCTTCCCCTGCCCCATCTCACCCCACATCACTTACTCCTGGGGCTGGGGACCTGTGCCAGTGTCCAGCCCTTCCCCTTGGGCGTGCGAAATTCAGGGCCCTCCAGGTCCAGCTTCCTCTTGGCCTGGAGCATGAGAGAAAACCCTGCATTGTGGCCAAGCCAGACACCCCTCTGATTTCCCCACACTGCCCCAGGGCCATCAGCCAAGCCCTGGGTGCCACATCCTGGGGTGAGGGAATCCTGCAAGAGGCTCATCCAGCTGCAATACTCCTTTTGGGAAGGGGCACAGCAGCACCCAGCAGTGAGGTGAGAGGCCACTGGGAGAACTGGACAGAGAGGAGATGAGGGGTCCCGTCACCCTCCATGACTTCCTGCACACCCTGGCAAGTCACAGGGAATCCACCAGGATTCCCCCTCACCCCCAGCTCCTGGCAGGGCTCCATGCGCTGACCCCTGGGAATGCAGCAGCTCCAAAGCCAGATTCTCACCCTCCCACCCTGCCCACTGGGGTGCAGGATTTCACTTCCCCCCTCCCACCAGGTCATGGTTGAGGCAGCCGAGGGCACCCAGCTGCCACCAGCACACCTGGGACCAGCTGGGTTCAGCCCCCCCCGGGACCCCTGGACACGTGTACGCAGCTGGAGGGAAACTGGGGTGAGGGAAATATGCTGGGTTCTGGGAGGGGACACAAACATCCCTGCACCTGCTGTCCCCTCACCATGGCAAGCAGCTCCTTGAAACTCACCAAGGAACCCTGAGCAGCACTTGGGCAAAGGGCCCCAGGGAAAAATACAGCAGAGTTAAATCCACAGGAGAACTGGAGGCTGTCACCACCCCACCCCCCCCCACCAATACAAACAAATCCCCCAAGACCCCTTCACACGCACAAACACGCACAGGGTGATTTGTGGAGGAATGCTCTGGCTCAGCAGCAAAAAGAAGCCCCCCAGCCCCATCCCAAGCCCCCAGCAGTACCTGCTCCCAGGCCGGGCTGTCCCACAGGGTCCCTCCCAGTACGTCCCGCATGGCACCCAGGTCCCTGTGCCGGCTCCGATGGCGGCTCCCTTGGGAGCACAATGCACTGTGCAGGGAAGGGTTGGGCACCTCTGCCTCGTTCCCACCCGAGGGGGCTGGTGGGAGAGGCGCCAGGGGCTGTTTTCCTCCCCCCCAGGGAGCCAGATTGGTCCCGAGCTCCTGTGGGAATCTGCTCCCTCCCACCCTTCCCTGAGCAGGTTTTTCCCAGTGAACTTGCCTCCAACCCCAGCCTCGTGGCCCCAGATCTGCCCTGCAGCTGCCGGCACCACAACAGTTAATGCTGAGCGCATGGGAAACACCTGCCTCAGATAAGACCCCATCCATCTGCCAGCACCCTGCCCTCCCGCCGGTATCCCTTGCTTCTCCAGCATGGATGGCCATGGCCAATGTATGTTGCCATCACTGCTGGGGAGATCAGCTGCACCCAACCTACCCCAAGCCATGGGGAAACTGAGGCACAGAGAAACCCATAGCAGGTCCTGGTGTTTCCAGAGGCCTCCAAAGCCCCCGAATCCCCCGTCCCCATGTGTAGGAGGGGATAAAGGGGACTCCTCCTTCCCCAGGTGCAGTTTTGGGGGTTTAGTGGGCTTAGACAGCGGCAGGACCCTGAGTTCTAGGACCCACCAGCAAGGGACAATGGATAAGGGGCTCCCTCTTGTGACCCAGCTGCCATCCCCCGAGTTGGGCAGGATTAGGCACACAACAGCTGAGTGGGGCACAGCAAGAGGCTCCCAGCACCCTACCGGCACTGGGGGAAGGGGGAGGGGGGGGAAGATAAACCAGAGTAGGTAGGGGAACAGGGACCACACCCAAAGACCCCCTCCAAGATGTGGCAGGACCACCCCACACCACTTGCCAGCCCCCATCCATGGCTCTCCAGGATGTGGGAACATACCATCTACACGCAATATGGTGGTGGGAAATCAGGCTTGACCCCAAAATTTCGGGTGTATATAAGGCAGTGAGGGGGCAGGCTGGGCCCCCTGCCAGCTCTGCCTGCCAAGCAGCCCTGAGCCCAGCCCTGGCGCCAGGGGCTACACCCTGAGCCCAGCCCAAGCATCAGAGCATCCCTCAGCCCCCCCGCAGAGGGCTTCTCCTGCCAACCTTCCCTTTCAGCAGCATCCGCTGCCTTCTCCGGGCTTGCCCGGGCTCTGCCCGGCCCTTCACAGGGCTCCCCCCGTTCCCTCTTTCACCGGGGGCGTGGGAACGCAGCGCCCGGGGCTGGGCGCCAAGGGCCACTCCAGGATCCTGCTGCTTGTGCTGAGGGGCTGCTGGGTCACACCCCCACAGGTGGGTCCCCCACTGCCTGGGGTGGCTGAGGGCTAGTAGTGCACGACAGGCAGACAGGGGAATGGAGGCTGATCCCAGATCTGGGAGACAGTGAGACCACCGTGCACTGGGGAAGCAGACAGTACCCTCAGCCCAGGCATGGCTCCCTACTCTAGGGTGCACCTAACATCTGCATCCCCTCCAACAGCCCCATCCTGGGAGATGTTTCCCGGTAGTGAGGAGCTTTAAAAGCCATAGCCAAAGAAGCCTCTCCAAGGGCAGCAGCACAATCACCACTTCCCCACCCATCCCTCCCCCCAAAATCCCCCCTTTTGCCTATGCAGAAAACCCTTTGATGGGATCAAGGTGGGGGGATGGGACTATGTCACCCCTGTAGAATCTGGGGTGCTGCTGAGCAGGTTCTCCCACAACCCACAGGCGCTGCCAGTCTTGGGTGCTCTTTGCACAGATGGCTCAGGCCTGCCAGTTCGTTCAGAACCACAGAGGACTCTTGTCCCTCTTCAGGGTGAGGAGCTGGGATCCCACGGCAGAAACACCCCTCTCTCCAGTGCTCTCACATAGCCCTAAGCCCCTGTGGAGACCAAACATGGGCAAACACTGACGATGGGATTGGCATGGGCTAAACCCACTCCAAAATACACATTTTTCCCTGAAGGAAAAGACATTTAATTACTCCAGAACCCTCAAATTGGAGAGTATGGTAAACATAAGGCTTTTTTGGACGGTGGGAGACAACCCATCCTCCTTTCCCGTGGGGTGATAGGCTCCTCCATGTGATCCCAAATCACTCATGTGGCACATAGCCGTTAGGAGTGGCTGCAATTGCCCTGCTTGGGAACTGGGAGGAAACGCTGGTATCTGATTGCCTCGGCTCTGCACACAAAGGCTGTGCCATAAACAGGGTGTGTGCGGCAGAAACCCCCGCTGTCAGGGCTCTGAGCGCCATACTGGGGCTGGAAACAGTATCTTCAGCACCACAAATGGGATAATGGCAGCAGGAAGTGGGGAGAGGGGGGAATGCCTCTCCAAAGCCACCAAGGGGGAGAGAGGAGCGTGTGGTGTCCCCAGTTGTCACATGAGCCCCCAGACCCTGCTCAAGGGATGGTTGTAGGCAGCAGCACACGGAACATCTCCTTGTGTGGGTGATAATGGTGGTAATGACAAAGAGGCAGGTAGCCCAAAACCTCTTCATCCCAGATGTCACTTAAGGACAAGCACTTCATGTCCCAAGTGTAACACAAGACCCCCAGGCCACTCCCCAGCCACATTTAGGGGACGGTGGCAGGAAGGAGTACCCTGAGCACTGGAATGGGTGATGATGATGATGACAAAGGGGCCACTAGCCCAAAACCAGCTCTGCACATCCACAGAAATGGTACTGGGAGTCTGTGGGGTGTTTTTAAGGGAGGGGGCAGAAATGATGGTGTCTTCTTAAACAACAGACCGTGGCAATGCAGGATGTCTCACACAGTTTGGAGACAAAGAGGCCGGAGAGGAGACAGGTGGTCCCAAAGTCCCCCGGGATGGAACTCAAAACAGCCGCATCCAGCCCCCCAGCCATGGCACAAACGGGTATGCAAAGACACTCCCTCTCCCTCCGCTGCAGCAATGTCCCCAGCTGGCACCAAGCATCAGGGATTGGGAAAAGGGGAGGGGGCGGGAGAGGAATAAATAAATAAATCAAACTTTGGGAACACTAAATCAGTGTTAGTGGGGTCTGGGATCCCTCCCAGGACCGAGGAAAACAGAGGCTCACAGTGAGGGCTGGATGTGTGCCCAGGCTGGAGCAGGCAGGAATTAAATGCCAGCTGCTGGCAGGGCCGACGACTCGGAGGGGGCCCTCCGGGAGCAGGGACAGGCTGGGCAGAGCCTCCTGTGTGCCCTGACAATGGGCACGGGACCAGCACTCGGCTTGTGCCTCACTTTCTCTGTTTAGGGGTAGCTTTGTAGCTTAGTGTTGGGCTTTATAAACACAATCGTGACCCCGTGGCTTGGCGGCAGGGATATGGGACAGCAACCCCCTACCCAACTCCCAGCACCAGGGTCTGAGCTATAAAGCCTTGGGGTGATCCATGACATCTCATGGAGGATGAGACCCCTCCCAAAAATCTGACATTGCCAGCCCCACTGTAGCCACGGGAAGAAACCAAGGTTAGAAAGCAACCCCTGTTCTGTGTCCTCCCACCTGCCCGGGTCACCTCTGGGGGTCACAGCTCCAGGCAGGGGCTCTGCCTGTACCCATTCCTCATTTCCCCATCATAAAAAGGGCTTCTCAAAGCGCCTGGGATTGCTGACCGGGTGCTGAGGCACAACCCGGACTTTTTGCAAGCTGGAGAAGGGAAATGAGGCCGAAAAAGGCCAAGCAGCGGAAGCTGCAGCCGCGGGCACGCAGGGGCGAGGGGAAGTTGAGAAACATCTGAGCCATTTCACTGCGACTTCTGATTTCAGACCCCACCCTCCCCCACCCCCAGAAAGACACATTAGAGGGTGCAAACTCCAATATAAGCTGCAAAATTTGAGAGGGAGCTGTACATGCTGAGGTCACCTACCCCTTGCTCCCCACCCAGCACCATCCCTAGCCTCCCGTGCCCCTGAAGCAGCACCCGAGAAAGAGACGGGATGCAGACATCTTACCGGCAGCCGTCCCGCCGAGGCCGAACAGAGGGTCCTGAGCTCGGGACCTTGGGGGGTGTCACAGAGGCACCCGCCCCGCAAAGCGGGGGCGCTGACAGCCGCTGGCGTGTAGACCTGGGTGAAACAGCCTGCGGATAACGGGGGGCTGCCCAGGCTGGGAGCCCCCGGATCACAGGAGACCATCACTGACATGACTTTCTTCGGGTGGCGGTGGGGAGGGGGAGGCGGGAGGGCGGTACCACCCCTCCCTGGGGAGGGGGACACTCCCCTGGAGACCCGCAGCATTGCAAAGTCCTTTCTGAGAAGCCCGGCCCGGGGAAGGGGGCAGGAGCACCCCGCGATTCCGCAGCCGGGAGCGGGGGGTCACAATCTCAGCCGGGGCATTTTGGGGGAGCGAGAAGGCGTTCCGGCGGGCGATGTCACCGGCCGGTCCCCAAATTGCCCCCAAAAAAACCCGCAGAGACGAATGCGGCGGCGATGCCGCCGAAACCGGCGGAAAATTCGCTTTTGGCCCCAAAAATCAGCCGCACTGGGGCCATATGGGGCCGGGGTGGCTGGAGAGCGGCCCCGCCTGGGCCGGGACCCCCGTGCCCGGCTCCACTCCCGCCCGATCGCGCCCGGCCCCGAGCGCTTCTTTTCTTTTTCTTTTTTTTTTTTTTTTTCCGGTTTTTTTTAAGCGCCAAAACCCGTGCCGCGAAATTCGGAATTCCCGCGGAAAACGCCGCGTGCTGATTGGCTGTCGCCGCCGTGGCCCCTCCTCTCCGCTGCGGCCGGGAGGGACCTTAAAGCGGCCGCGCGGCGGGTGGGGTCATCGATGCAAATAGGGGATGGACCTTCTTGAGACCACCTGCTGGGGATAGGGGTGCCTGTTTTGGGGGCGGAGTGCTTTTGAGTTGGGGATCAGGACTAGGATACATTTTCTGCTACTTATTTTTTCGAAGATACTCACCCCCCATCAATCTGGTGGGGTCCACCCCGGGGGCTGCGACCCTCCAACCCCATCATCCCGCATTGCTCACTATCTCTTATCTCCATCAAGCCCCAGTCCTCATCTTCTCATCCTTATCCCACCCTTCCCATCGCTTCCCCACCCCTATCCCCAGTTACAGCAACCCAGGGTAGGGGAGAGGGAGCCACCTCTATTTAAAACAAAAATTTTGGCCTCCACCAGCCAGAGGCTGTCAGGTACCTCCCCACCCTGCAGACAGGTGACAGTGGTGTTGGGGGAGGGCAGGGATCTCAGAGGGGGTCAGCATGAGGAGATTTGGCCCCTGGTTCACTCATAGTTCATTCAACCTGCCACCCATTGCTCCACATGCACCCCACCCATGTCCTTGGAATGAATGCACCAGGTCTTCATGACTAAGTGGAGAGAGAAAAAAGGGATGAAGGGCACCCAAGCTGGCCTACAGGGTATTTCAGAGTGCAGCAGTAACAGGAATCACCGAGGCAATGGCAAACTCCCGAGCAAGGGCAACTCTGACCCTTACTGGCACCAGTAAAAGGCCACCACAGCCACTGAGACAGGCCGGGGTTTAATTCTGCTGAGGCAACCAAGCCACAGCAGTTGGTTTCCCTTCGTCCCTCTCTATCACCTTGTTTGTCTCTGTCCCCTGGTTCCTTTCCATTCCCTGATTTGCCTCCATTACCTGGTTGGTAATGGAGACAAATGCCTACACCCATTCATTCCTCCCCATTTTTCTTCTCTCCATCATTCTCCTCTTCAGGAAGAGCCAACTCCATGCTCAGGTTGGGATAAGGATAATAATGTGCAGAGATGGACTTTTGTGTGAAGAAGCCTCCTGGAATACAGAAAGATGGATACATATGCTGGGCATGGCCTCTGCTATGGACAAGGAAGGACACTCAGCTGGGAGAGGCACCTAGAAATGTGCCAGGAACCTTGGATCAAGGATAGTCATTTGCCTCCCACCGTGCGAGACTTTGAGGCAGAACAAAAGGCCTGGCAGCAGCGATGCTACCCCAGCTGGGCAGTGCAACCCCTGTGCCAGGAGTGTGGCTGAGCTTGGCAAATCAATCCACCCAGACCTTCTTCTCCCTCTCTGTGGGAAGAAGGCAAAGCTGTCCTGATCCCAGTGCACAAAAACAAGGCCATGACCAGCAGTGTGGATAAATTTGTGTCAATTGCCTGCCTTGGGCTCGCTCCAGTGGATGACTCTTGGGATAAGGACACTGGGGTATGGGGTGGGCCTGGCAGCTTGTGTCCTCAAATCCTCCAGTTTGGGCAAAGCAGAGGTGACATCCACACATGTTGGTAGCGTCACCTCACTGGGGTAAGGGCTGACCCAGAAGGTGGGAAAACTTGTTGGCTCTCATCCCCTCAGCTGTGCTGTGCTGTGAGTCAAGGGCATGTTTCCCACTACCCAATATTTGCTCAATAAGCCTTTTACAGCCATGGCTTTCCACCAGCAAAGTCCTCTCCCATACCGGAAGACACTGATTTGTATCTTCCTGTGACACCAAGGTGTCCAGAAGGGCAGGCCCTGCACCAGCTTCCACCCTACAAGCCAGAGGGGCTTGGATTGGAAAGGACCTTGGAGACTATTTATTTCACTCTGTCATGTTACAGAGGTCTGGAAGGACCTCGTGGATGGCCTGAAGCACCCCTAATCAGCCCCTTGAACAGCTTCCTCACCCTGGAGCAGGGTGAAAGATCCCATCACTGTTCTGGCCATAGCGAGAGGAGGAGCCAGGAGACCTCTCCTAGCTTCTCCCCTGAGGGTCTTGGGAGGGTCTGAACTGCACCCCAAAAGCAGGGTGAAGAGCTGATGGCGAAGAACAAGTAATTATGTTGTTTTTCCCAGTGCAGATTCAGCACATGCAATAGTGGCACTACACCTGGGCTGCTGCATCTCTGCACAGACCAAGAGAGCACCACCAGAGGCTTAGGGGTACAGCCCCCACACCATCACTCACCTCAGGATCTGGAAATTCTTTTGCATATTCAGCTTGGAGGTGAGGGACCTCATCAGGATGCAGAGCACAAGGAGGAGGTTGACTATATCCCAAAAGCAGGGGGCTGAAGCTGGGCTGTGGACCCCAAATGAGATCCCATTCCCAAATTTTCCTCCCCAAGGAACATTCCCAGGAGAGAGAGGGTGCAAGGGGTGCTGCTGCCCTATGGCTCTGCCCAGACTGGGGGGAACAACTGTCCAAAGAGCATGTGATGGGCCACTAGGCAAGCACACGTGGTCAGCATCCCCCACAGCCCAATGCCACACATCCCTGTGCCTGGAATGGGGGCAACAGAGAAGGTCCCAGTCCTTTCTGAAAGGGCATCAGAGAAGGTCTTGATCCTTCACAAGGAGAACAGCAGAAGAGATCCCAAATCTTCCCGGGATAGGCATCGGGGCAAATCCTGGTCGTTTCCAAGGGTACACCAGCGGAAATGTGAAATCCCAGATCTTCCCGAGGGGAGAACCTTCCCGGTGAGCCGGGCTCTTCTTCCTCTGCCCTGGAGACGGCAGCAGCGAGTCGCGGCTGCGGGGCCCGCGCCGTTGCGGATCCACCCTCCCTCGTCCCCGACAGATTTTGGGACATGCGTGAAGCCTCAGTCCCACCGTGGGACAAAGCCCTGATGTCACCTGTGGGAGGGGGAAGACCAGGACTGACAGGAACAAGCGGGTTGGCTACCACGACGGAGGATGGTCTCCACGGGGGTGGGGAGGGAGCAGGAACAGCTTCCTCTAATTCCACAGCATCACTGGGAGGTCCAACCAAGGGGGTGCTGAGCCCCTACGTAGGTTGGTTTGCAGGATGAGCCCTCCTGTGCATACATGCACACGTGTGTAGGCACGTGTGTAAGTGCACTCACGTATACATAAGTGTGCCTGTATTTTAAGTGTGCACAGACGTCAGTGCCCGTAGGCATATTGTAAGTGTTTATGGGCAAGGATGTAAATGCATGCATGTGTGTGAGTGTGCCTGGACACGTGTCAGCATCTGAATACACATGTGTGAGTGCACATAGCTGTGTGTAACTGAACACAGTCACGTATGCACATCTGCCCGTGTGACGTGCACTTACACATGCGTGTCAGTGTTCATAAACACGTGTGTAAGTGCACACAGGTGTGTGCAAATGCACAGTCATGTGTGCATACATGGACACACATGTGAATATGCTCATGCCACACGTGTCAGTGAGTGTATGCACACCCGCGCTCAGGGGCCAGAACCCCCCTCCCCGCGTGAGCGCGCCTGGCCAAGGTCACGCGTGTGCGCGCAGCATCTGTGTCAGCGCGGCTGGCGCGGAGCCGGGCGGGGGGGCCGCGGGGCCAGGCCTTGGCCGGGGCAGCAGCGGGAGGAGGAGGAGAAGGAGGAGGAGGGAAGTGCGGCTCAGACAGCGCGGCGCCAGCAAACACCTGCAAACAGCTCCGGGCACACAATGGCAAATACAGGTGGGAACCGCCGCCTCCGTCAGCGCAGCGATTGCATCAGACTCCGTCGCTTGCCAAGAGGCGAACGAGCCGGATCACGGGCCACCGGCACCGCGGCGGGGTCGCGCTCGACCTTCACCACTCACCCCCCCCGGTATTAGTTTTTGCCCTCTTCACCCTCTTTTCTCCACCCCTGCAGTGCAGTTGGGGTGGTAAAAGTAACGCCGGGCTTACTCGGCCAGGAGCATTTTTCTCGTTCCAGCTGTTCTCCCCGAGGTGAATCTCGGCCCTTGCGGCTATTTTTAGCTGCGTGTTTTTTCCCGTTTTCTTTACTTAATTTTTTTTTTTTTTTTAATCAGGGTTTTCCAGGAAAGCATCGGCATCCCACAACAGCCAAGATAAATCTGTTCCATGGGGTAAATCTTCTCCCCGAGGTAAATCCCATCTGCCCCACGGGGTAAATCATCCCATCAACCCCCTGATGTAAATCCCAGTCCCAGCAGTTATTTTTAGTTTTGGGGGGGGTTCCTATTTTTTTTTTTAGAGGCGTTTCAAAGAAAGTACTGGACACTGACAGCCCAGTCCAGGGAACTAGTGGGGTCTGAACACGGCTTGTGCCAGAGTCTGGGAATGCCGGGGTAGCTGTTCCGGGCAAAGCGCCGGGATCCATCCACCACGGGGGAGGAGGTAGCGGCCCTGGGAGGCTTTTTGGGAGCTAGAGCCGAACCCCCACAGCCCCTGGCCTCGGAAATCCCCTGCCCTGATGCCTGAGAGGGGATAGGGGCCACCTCCACTCCCCAGGGGCTGCAGTCCCCCTCCACCTCCCCAGTGTCATTTCCATCCAAAAAGCCCCAGCAGGACTGGTTTCTGCCACCCTATCCTAGCCCCACTTCTCCAAGTAACTCCTGCCCCAAAGTAGGCTCACTAACGCTCCCACCAGTCTAGGATTTCCACCACCATCATCTCTGATGAGGGACCGATTAGGACCTGGGATGGAGTGCTCACACTGCAAGAAGCTGCACCTTCCAGGTACCAAGACTCATCCCTGTCCCCTGGCTCATGCCCAGGATGCTTTTCCCACCCATCCCACTTAAATCTCTTTGGCACATCAGCACTGGCACAGCTGGAGGACCATGACACCCAGGTGAATGTGGGGACACTCGCCCCTAACCCACCCCTTGCCTTTTCCTCCAGAGCCAAAAACCAGTGGAGATGGCAAAAGCTAATTTTTTCACTGTGAGCATAACAGCAGTTCTGTTCCCAGATGCAGTGGTTTTTGGATGGACACCTTCACCTGCCTCTCACCATGCCCGGACAGCCCATGTCACCGCATCCTACCCCATCCAGAGGTGCAGGAGGATACAGGCCCTGGGGAGCCTGGGGACATCAAGCTGGGAGGAGGGAGGAAAGTTCCCAGGGGCTGGTGATCCAGTTGGACCAGGTGGTGCTTTTTGGAAGCTCCACGTGCTGTTTTCTCTGTGGAAATGCCCATGGACAAGGAGCGTTTGGCAGGTGCCTGCTGCACCCCAAGCTCCTGTTCTTCCATTGGGTAGAGTCTGAAGCCAGTGTGTTAGGGCAAAGCTTTGTATCACTCTGTGCTCCGAGACCCTTGTGTCTTCTCCCTTCTCCTCTTCCCATGATGTACCCCTGGATGCTGGAGCACCCTGGGGACACCCCAATGCCAGGGGGCAGGATCCACATCATGCCTGGCTAAGCCCACAGCAGCAAAACCAGAGCCCAGCACAGGGAATAAAGATGATGGTGCTACAGGTGGGGGTGAAGTCAATTTAACTTCATCCTGGGCAGGCCAACACCTTCCCCAGGGAGCATGATCCAGCTCCACAGCTGAGCCAGCCCCGGGTCACATCTGTTCTGCTCCCGGGCCAAAGGGAAACCACAGCATTACCCAAGGAGAGGGAAAAGCATTTTTGCTCCCAACACCTCTTCCCTGTAGTGTTGACCCCGAGGAGATCGGGCCAGGCAGGGGCTGCTCTCTCAATACTCCCTGGGGCAGCAAAAGCAGTCCAAAAACTCCTCTACCCATATGGGGTATATCCTGGGGGAGCAACATCACCCCTTCCAGCCCAGTAGAAGCTCAAATCCAGTATCATAGCAGCTATCAGCCCATTTTCACATGACTAAAAGTGGAAAAAAGCGTATTTTTCCCTCCTTCCCAGGGCTCCAGCTACACTTCTAGATGGTCCCCGGGGCTGCAGCACCGTCTTCACTCTTTCGGTATCAGGTAAGCACAGCAGCACACAAAATAGCTGGCAGCCACCTCGGCCAGGAACGGCCAGGAACGGGCGGCCCAGGGTTAATTCCTCCCATACTTGAGCTGACATTTCAATGCTATTACACAATTATGGAGATTCCTACTGTAACCCTAGAAGTTCCCATCAAAGTTTGGTAGGCTCCCACCCCCCCAGGGGGTTTTCCCACCCAGAGGTACACCCCAGCTCCTTCCATCCCAGCGATGAAGGAGAAAAACCAATCAAAATTATCTGGCTTTTATTATGCAAAAATGGTAACTTTTATAAAAAGTTTATAAAGCAAGTACAAGGCATATTCGCAGAAAATCACCTTCCTGCACAAAAGGTACAAAAAGTTATACTCTAGTATAGAGCTCCACAATACACGAGGCCACAGCCCCAGACAGTTTAGTTCATACTCAAGGATGTTTGTTCCCCCCTCCCCAAAGCCCCCTAATCCCCACCCCGCCATCCCATTAAACACCTTTAAAAAAAAGGACTCGCTGCTATAATCCAAAAATATACAGACAACCTCCGCTTCATCATCAGTCCATCATTAAAAATATCTCATGCGAATTCGGGTCCCAAACTGGGATGCTGAACTCCGTGGGTGGGATGCTGGCGGTGGAAGGCTGGGGGGGTCGGAACCAGCCGCTCCCCACTCGCGATGCCGGGGCCGGTAGGTCGCAGACAGCCCGGCGCCACGGAGGAAGCTGCTATTTACCTCCGGCTGATAACGAACCAGGAACCGACACTCGCTGCCTGTTTGCTAATTGGCACAGGGAGGTGAGAGAACAGAGGGGGAGGGAGGAGAAAAAAATAATAGTGGTAATTAGTGCCGTGGTAAGTGGAGTTGGGGATGGAAATTTGGGAAGAGAGGGTGGGAGCCAGGAAACCAAGTTCCTCGGGGACTGTGTCTGGCTCCCGGCTGGGAATGCTGGGGATGGGTTGGTGCTGGTTGGGGACTGGAGTTCAGGTGGCAGACTTGGGGGGGGGGGGGAAGGGGGAGCACTGGTCTGCATTATTTGGATCGGTATCGGTGGTGGGGTGCGCGTGGTGAAAAACTGGGGCGAGGGGAAATTGGGGAGAGGGAAGCATGGGTTTCTGGGGTTTGGCCCGCTGGGGATTTTGATGCTGGGGGCGGGAAGAGGCCCCAGGACGCCACCTGGGCTGTGGGCACATGGGGAGGGGGGGACTGGGCTGCGGATGGTGGTGGCAGTGGTGATCGGAGGCGACACTCACCTGGTGGAGGTGGCGTTAGTGACACAAACTTCTCTCGTCTTTGGTGCGGAGTTCTGAGGCGAGTTCAGCCGCCTGCAGAGAAAAGGGACGGGCTTAAGATTACCCCGGCAGCGGGGGGTCCCCACTCCTCCCCACCCACTCCTCCCCATTCCCCACCAACACACTCGGGGACCCAGCAGCACCTCCGTCCCGACTTGTTATCACCTCCAACCTAACAGATCCTCTCTCCCCAAATCGACATACCTAGCCCCGAGTCCGAAGCGACCCTTACCTTAAGGGAAAATAGGGTGGCCTCGGAAGAGGGGTCGCGGCCCTTGGACCCCTCCTCCAGCACAATTTGGAGGTCGAAGATGTAGTCTATGACGTGCTGCAGGATCTCCACCTGGCTCACCTTGGTGCCTTCAGGGATGCCCGGCACCAGCTCCCGCAATTTGGAATAGCAGTCGTTCATATCGTAGAGCAAGTTCATGGGCTCTTCCAAGGCCGGGCTCTTGTTGTGGCTGCCCCGGGCGATGGCTAAACTCTGCTCCGAGAGGCAGCAAACAGCCTCGTAGCAGCTCCGGACGGATCGCACCGGGCTGATGGCTTTCATGGTGGGCTCAGAGCAGGTCTGGAGATGCAGGACGGGAGGATGCCTAGGAGCCTCAGGGGCTGTCGCGGCAGCGGGGGTTTTGCTGGGACCTTCGAGCACCAGACCGCCAAAGAGGGGAGCTCTGAGAGCTTTGACTCTCACCCCCTGGACCCCCAACTTTCGTATTTCGCTGGGGATCGGAGAGGATCGAGGAAAATGGGACGTACGCGCCCCGTCATTATATAAGCAGCGCCGCTTGACCGCGCCCACCACATGCAAATTTTGAGCAACACAACCCCCTTTTATGTAAAATAACTATTAATCTCTTCCCTTTTATGTTAACGAAGCCCTAAACCCCGCCTCCGAGGGTCAATGAAGCATCAAACTCCACCCCTACACATAAATGAAGCCTTTAACCCCTCCACCTCAGCCCCCCGGTCTCCCCCCAGCCCCCCAGATTGACCCTTGGTGGCCCGACGGGGGATGACACGACCACGCAGGTCCCCCTCCCCATAGCCAGACCCGCCAAACCTCTTGGGGATTATCCCCCTCTAACCCCTTCAACACCCTAGCACCCTGAAACTGTCCTACTCCCCTTCCCAGTGAATTGCCCCCATTTTTAGACAGGACGATGGGGTTTCCCACCTCCCAACCTCCCTGTTTTAAGGAAATTAGTGTCGGCCTTTTTCCTCAATCCGCTTCTCATCTGACCTCCAGACTTTCTGGCGTCAGGAATTATCTTGTGACCAGCAGAAAAAAATTAATTGCGGTAAAACTGAGGTTACGATGGAGAAACCAGATTTAGGTCAGCGCCTGCGAGAGGCCTGGAAGGTTTTTTATTTTGGAGGTGGGAGAGGAGATTTATAGGCAAAGGGGTTATCCCTAGCAGAAGTGATTGGCGGCTGGGGGGGTTGGGGGGGGGCGGGCAGGATATGAAGGAAACTACCCTTCTACCATAGCTGCCTTAAAACTTACAGAATCAGAGAATGTCCACAGAAAAAGCCCAAAGCTGGAGCGATCTGGGGTCCCCGGTGGGTGTCACTGCAGCGGGTGGCACGTGGAGGGGTCCCACAGTAGTGACAGCCCTGCAACACCCCGACAGCGAGTCAGGATGAGCCTAAGGGAAAAATCCTCTCTCCCCCAAATATTGACTTTGGTGGGATTTAGTTATGGGGTTGTTGTGGGGGCTTGGTTATGAAAGTGCAGGAAGGGAATGTTACAGCCAAGAGGGTTGGAGGGAGGCACTCTGGGAGCCTGCTTGGCCCAGGGCTCCCTGATAATGACGGGGGCAGGGGGCTGAGGGTACAGGGACCTGGACCAAATTACTCCTGCCCACGGCAGCGATTTATTCTAGATCTGCCCAGATCCGAGTTTGGTAGTGCTGGGGTTTATTTCCACCCCGAAAGGGGTCTGGGGACTGCAGGCTGGAGGGCACCCTTCCTCCCACATCTCCCCCAGGCCATGAGCTGCTCAACAAAAAAACCTTGAAAGCAGCATACAACACTCTTTGTGCTTGGATTATTTTTGTACCTTTTATTTTTCTCTCTACTCCCCCCCTCCCCCATCTCCCCGAATCCCCCACCTCACTGGTTATGAATTTCCTGGGAAATCACCTCTGTGTAAAGGATAGCAGCTTGGGAAGATGCATAATTACCCTCATTAACCAACTCCCCCCCTCCCCCCAAAAAAACCCGAACAAAATAAAGTTTAAAAAGAATTAAACATCTTTTAAAAAATAAATGATTACTGTAAAACTTCACGAAATTAACACAGATCTTTAAAACGTTTACAAAACATTCAGAAACTCTTTTCAGACCACCACCTGAATCCTTCTTATGACTTCCCCTCAATACAAAACAGCAGCGTACAGCCTCTGCTTATTCCCATACACCCCCTCTCATTTCCCAAGGGATGGCGGGGGGGGGGGGCGCTGAAAGGCTTCAGAGGGACTGGGAAGGGAGCTTTTGTTTGCAGGGGGGTTTTGTTGGCGGCGGTTCCCACAGGCCCTGCCTGGGCGGCGGGACCCGCTGCCTTTGCCCAGCTGTGGCCCGGGCCCTCCAGCTGTGTTGATCTAACTCCCGGCCCCAGACAGCCTGGCGCCAGCCCTGCGCACGTCATGCATTCACAGAGGGATGCGTGGCCAAGGCAACCTCCCCCCACGCCTCCCCCCGCACCGCCGCAGCCACGGCCACGCTGCCGCCGTATTCCAGGGGCATTCATTCCAATCCTGGGATACCCCGAGTGTGCGAGAGGGCTGGGAGCACAAGAATGTTTTTATCTGATCACCCCAAGTTTGTGTTGCCCGGATGGGTCACTTCACTTTTGACTGGGACAAAGCGGCGCTTTTAGGGTGCCCTTGCGGTGCCAGCTCCGGGTTTGGGGTGTCCTTATGCAGTGGCTGCAGGAGGAATGGATTTCTTGGTGTGGAGAACAGAAAATGGGGGAGGAAGGGAGTGGGCATGCTCTGGAGCATGATGATTTCGTAGTGAAAGGGCCCACACTGGGTGTTTTATTAAAATGAAAAGTAAAAGAAGCAGCAGAAGAAGCAGGAGCTGGGATTTTCCACCTCAGCAAGCACCCCAAAATGATACCAAAAAGCCCCTTGTGGGACGGGTGACCATGTATCTCACTACAGCTCAGCTATTGCTCCCTACCCACCTTTCTCCTTTTCCTGGGAACAGATTTTTAATCCCAGGGGATTTGCCCATGCTGCAAATATCTGCAAAGGTCCTCAAAACTTGGGGGGGAGCCTCACAAGTAGTTGCTTCCCCCCACCCCAAAATAATCTGCCCCTTGGGCTTGGGTTTGGTTTGATTTTTTTTCCCCCTGAAATAAGTCACTATAGGTGACAGGATGTGAGGGATGTAACATGGAGTGGAAATGGCCAGATTTGGCCTGGCTGCTGCAGGGCAGGGAGGGCGAGTGTGGGGGTCCCTGTGTCCTGGGGGAGCACCACCAGCATTTTGGGAGGAATTTCTTGTGTTTTGGAAGCTGGAGGCTGTCTGGAAGCCCTGGTTGCGGGGCAGGGATTTGATGGGAGAGGAGAGGAATGGAGATGTGGCAGGCTGCCCAAGGCAGCTACAAAGGGAAGAAGGGCTCTTTCCCAGGGGTCATCTGGATTCTTTTTCAGATGGGGCTGAGGTATAAATCCCGTTTACCAGGGATCTTCAGAGACCTTCAGGATCTTTCAAGAGCAAGGGAAGCTGAGGGACCTGGCTGGCTTGCTCTGGCTCAGCCCAAATGGGAACAAAAGCTCAGAGA